CAGCTTTCGTTGAAAAATTACTAGGGTTTCGTTCAAATCATCCCCAAATTTTTTTGATTTTTCAACAACTGATCGAGCATAATCTGATTTATTACAGTGATGCTTTACAGTTATGCACACACATATGCAAGAGTATTGGTAGTGGCGTGCCTGTTGCTGCTGTTGGTAAGTGGTTAAATCATGAAATGCAGACATATCGTCTTAGTGGTGTTGTCTGGATCCATTCGGGTCGGGTCGCGAGGAGCTTGGAGCCTGTGGTGGAGCAGCGTGGGAAAAGCGGCGGTACGGATAATGGGTCGGGTCAAGCTGAGGTTAAGAAAAGGAAGAAACTGAAGGGGAAGAGAGAAGTGGTGAGGTGGCTGAAGTTTTTCAGGTATAAGAAGAAGAAAGATTACGAGAGGATGACGCCCGAAGAAAAAATCCTCTATAAATTGAATAAGGTTTGTTTATGTGTGTGTGTGTGTGTGTGTGTGTATACTCTGTGTTGGTTCTGTCAATGTTCGTGTAGAGATTAAAAAGTATGATCCAACTTACTCTACGTATCAATATATAAGCTCGATTAATCAGAAATGGATTAGAAGTTGTTATTTTTATTATTGAGGGATATTATTGTTTTAAATTCTTATGGGTGGTTGATTTGGTTTCATGTAGGCCCGGAAGAAAGAGGAGAGACTACTCGAAGCCCTTCAGAAAATCGAGCCGAAAGATTCTTCAGAGACCACCCACGATCCAGAAATACTGACACCCGAAGAGCACTTCTACTTTCTGAAGATGGGTGAAAAGTGCAAGAATTATGTGCCCATTGGGAGAAGGGGGATTTATAAAGGGGTTATACTGAACATGCACTTGCATTGGAAAAAGCACCAAACTTTGCAAGTTATAGTAAAGACATTTTCTCCTGAAGAAGTGAAGGACATTGCCTCGGAGCTTGCAAGGTTGAGTGGTGGGATTGTGCTCGATATTCAGGAAGATAACACCATTATTATGTACAGAGGGAAAAACTACTCTCAGCCTCCTACAGAAATAATGTCTCCTCGGACAACTCTCTCGAGAAAGAAGGTTCTTTTTCGTGCTTTTCATTTTCTTATCAGCTCTCAGTTAGTGGTTTTAGAAAGCTATTATGAGAGGTATTTTAGCCAGATTACGACAAGAACTTTTAGTTCAATGTTAATATTAAGGATGATCTGTTGAGGAGATGATACCCCATTGAAGGTTTGTGTTTATTGTAGAGAGGTATTACAGCAACTATTCCTGCGGTGTTTACGAATCGAGCAAAAAAGGATCAGCTTTGGCATTATTAAATATTCTGCAAGTGCACACGAGTTTATTCAAGTATTAGATAGCTCAACTCCTTATGTGACTCTTTGTCCCATCAAGAAAAATTAAAGGATCCAAGTGTGAAATATGCGAAAAGATTGAGCTATTCTTAATATTTAGAAAAGTTGGGGGAAATAATTGTAAAAACGTGTACTGTGTCAGTTGTGTTCTAAAGAATAACAGTCTATTTGTTGTTTTTAGTTAGAACTAAACCTTTGGGTTATTTGCAATTATCCCTTGCTTTATTGTTTATCAATTTTTTGAAGCTAATGTACCAATTCCAAATTTTTACAGGCTCTGGATAAATCCAAGTATAGAGATGCTTTGAGAGCTCTCAAAAAATATATTCCAAGACTCGAGCAGGACCTCGCTCTAATTCAAGCTCAGGCGGCACGTAAAATCAGCATGAGTGAAGAAAAACAATCTCTCGATGCAAGTAATAATGCTGATTCCAACAAATTTATCGAGGGAGCTTCGAATCAAGATTTCGAGGGATCTAAGAGACTGAAAGAACTATTGGCAAAAACTTATGTGAATGCTGATCATGATTCAGATGTGGATTCTGATTTGGGTTCGGATTCTGAAGCCCTTTCGGATATTTTCGAGACGGAGTCAGAAAACGAGAATGAGGTTGTGAAAGAAGAAGAAGAAAAAACACTTTACATGGACCGGTTTGAAAAGATTCTAGCGGATAGCGAAAAGGAGGAAGATGATGATTTTGGAGAACACTTGAGCAAGATATCGGCTGATTCGAGAAGGGAGAAAGGTGATGAATATAATGATGATAAGGATGAAGAGATGGCTGATCTTGATGAGGTCGATAAAATGATTGTAAGAGCAGCTTCACTCTTGAAGAAGAAGAGAAGATGATGATTTGCTCAGGAAAGTTCATTTTCACAATCTTGTGGTACTCATTTGATATGAATTACTGTTGTGAAATTCAGTCTACAAAATCAACTGGGCCAAAATCGAGCAATTTCACGGAACCCAATTATTTTATTTTCGGGGTTCACAACCCAATTATCCTACATAATTCAACTAACTGTACACATGAATTCAGGGAGCAATTTCATAAAATCCCCCATTGTCATAAATTCTCGAAAAGAAGCCAATCGAGAGGCTCGAAATTTTGTACCGTTCGAGAATAAAGTCCAAAAGCTACCTTATCTGCAGCTAAAACTGATAAAAAAAGAGCTAAATTTACCGGAAAATAACCGAAGGACCGCATTACGAGACTCTAGACTAAGCTGGTGTGGTCCCGGGCAGTTTCAGAGCTTCGGTCAGAGCCTCAGTATCGGCTTTCTTAGCATCCTCAATGATGGCTAGAACTTTCTCAGACAAATGATCAGCTCGAGTCTCGATACGCGCCAGAAGATTGACTATTTTTTCCCTGTAAGCTGCGCACAGTTCTTCCTGGTGTTGCAACTCTTTGGTGAGTTCTTGTATTTTCTTATCCTTGTCACGCTTCAGGAAAATTGATGATTGAATAAACCGTTATTTGGAAAAAAGCACGCATGAAGCAATAAAAATAATACTAATCCACATTTCAAGATTTATCAGCTGAAGTTAAAAAAATAAAAAAAATAAAAAAATGAATGATGAGATTCCAAGAGGGATTATATGAGTATTTTTGGCATAGTGAATACTAAAACTACTAGCATTTGTTCTGGCATAGTGAAAATCGTTTTCTCTTTGAAAGAACACATGCAAGAAAGATCATATATAAGCATACCCCAAAAACAGATGCAAAAATAGAGCAAAACTGGCACAAGACAATCAAAAAATAAATAAATCAATCGACAAAAAATGGCCGAAAAGAAGAGCAGTACCGTATTCGCAAACTCACTACCATTCACGACCAAAGGATGGTTATGCTCCTTGACTAATCTCGTGACGATCCACTTCCCGGATTTCTCGAGCTTAAACAATACATTCGCCTTGCAACCCTCACGCGGCCCGCTGGGCCTGGGCATTCTCTCAGGCCCGATTTTGCCCTTTGTGCTCGTTGAGAAGCCCTGCGTATTGCACCCGAGCCTCCGGGCCAGAGTTTTACCATCAATCTCTGAACGACGACCTTGCATGATACAAACCATGAACCCCATTCTCCTTGCATACTCGTAGTAAAATCTTCGGGCATTATCCTCCGAGTCATATTCCATGTCCAAATGTGGTTCGAGGACTTCACTTATATTAATGTTGTCTTCATGAGTCTCATTGTCCTCCGAGCCCCACGAATCCCCAGAGTTCCACTCGTCTCTTACAGATTCGCCAAAGTTTAAGTCAACCACTAAAAGTGAACGAAAAGGGCGGAAAACAAAAAAGGGAATTTGTGAAGATTAATGGCCATGGACCTGTAAAACTCTATCTAAATGCATCTATTAGGTAAATGAATCATTCTTGATAATTTGTGAGAACTAAGGCCATGGATATAATATAACACCATATTTGATGAGTGCCCATCAGCCCATGCATTTTCTCAATCATAATCAGAAGAACCACATCCCTCCCTATATATTAATTCAAAACGTGTTGAGCTTAAGTGACAGATTCTCACGCTTCAAATGCTGACATGGCGAAAATCTATGGTTCGTGATGTTGTTTTTATATTATTTTTGCTCTGGAGTTATGTTTGGTATTAGACATAAATAACTTTACACATATATTAATTAACTCAACACCCACGTTGTACATGGGTATTAGTACTAGTAAGCTTTGATATCTGAAATCTGGGTTTTCATAATTCAGTCAAGCAACTTTTTTCTTCAACTAAAACAAGATATTCTTGAGTGTTTTCAAAGATCACCCAGGTGAGAATTCAAGGTCAGCTTAACATGTCTAATGGAAAGTGAGCATAAAAGGGCAGTCATTGTAATAGATAAAGCCACACACTAAGACATTGAATTAAAGAAACTTAGGAAAACGAACAAAAAAAAAGCAACAATAACAACAAAAAATTCGCATCCTACGTATGTACCTCAGTATATATGAGAACGAGTGAAAACAAAGACTCTCTTCTTTTCCAGTGGGAAATGGTCCGATCTCGGCTCGGCTCGGCTCGAGTTTAAGGCCTTAACGAGCCAAGCTCGGTCTCATTTAAAGCGCTTTAAAGCCAAAAATCAACCATAACTAAAGGAGTCGAACTCGAACTTTACTTGTTGTATATAAAAAATTGGTCAGACTATTATACAGAAAACAAAATTGATTAGTTGTATGGGTAAGTCACTAATAAAGTCATTGCCCTTTAATTGTTAAAGACATAATTTTTCTTCACCAATTTTTGCACACAAAAGTGCACAATCACGTGGATTTGTTGTCTTTCTCATCAATGCTTCACCAAGTCCACGCAGTTTAAACCAGCAAGCAAAACAGTCGCTCGCTAGGCTATATGCATAGATTTGCCAACCCTTTTTATCGCCTAGCCCGCTGAATATTTTTCTCAATCGTCGCTCACAGGAAGCATTCTGTAAGTTTTTTTGCCTGATAACGAATGAAATTGTTCGATTAAATCTTTGATTTTTGCAAAATGATGGGTTTTTAACACTGGTTGTGTAATGGGATGTCTGGTAATTTGGGGATTTTTAGTTCAAATATTTTCGGAGTTCAACTCAGCTGTGAAGGCAAAGCCTGTTGCAATCTTTGAGGTTGTTGGGTTCTGCTTGTTTGTCGTACTTCTGATTGGAATTGAAACCTTATAATGTGTGTGTATGTAAAAGGTTGCTCCTTTTTGTTTGATTTGAACTCAAAACATTAAAGGTTTTGTTTTCTCAAGTCGCCAATTATTTCAGAGCGAAAAAAGATCCAATTTTTCCTTTACTTGTGCTGAACTTTGCATTTGTATGCATGAATTTGTTTGTTTGGTAATTATATCTCTCTGAGGTCTGTTGTTATAGTTGACAAATACTATGATTGTTGAGAATAAAAGACCAATCATCTGTAACATGAAATACACTATAGTATAGTCTTTAATCCTCGACTCACGTTCGAATAAACTGATTGTCCCTCCTCATAATTCGAATAGCTCAAAGTGTTCTTTTTTCCCCTTAAACCACAGTCATGCTGAAAGTTTCTTCAAACCCATAGTGGTAGTCACTATTTCATGGTTAGAACATAGGTCTCAGTATTGCAGAAATATTCCTATTATAGAATCGAAGAATGTACTGGTCTGATAGTGACAGACCAATTACTCAAAATCTTTTCGTTTGATTGTATATTAACATATATATTTTGACTAGACCAATTACTCCGAATCAGGGTTACTTGACTCCAACTATAATAGTTGCTGCTTAAGAAGATCACATTTTCTGCTATTATGGTCCAAGTCCAATGCCTCTTTTCATTGTGATGTGTTATTTCCACATGCAGCGTAATTTTTTCTATTTCAAGACCGAATAAGACTCAAGAACTAATTTCTATTTGAATATGCGTAGTGTGCCAAACTATTATATCTAAATCATTGCATGCAAAATGAATTCAATATGCTTTCGAGCAAGTAAATTAACATCTGATTAAGCTCATAAATGCACATCTTTTAAAATACTAACTTTTGTGTCTTTTCTTCATCAAACTTCTTTTCTTTCAGATTAGGGGGAAATGGGAATTTCAGGAGAAGCTGAACATCCTTATGTTCCGAGAGATCTGAAATTGCCTGGATTTGTGCCTGGATTTCTCTCTCAATCAACTATTCTTGCCGTTTATGGCATCTCTTCTTTGCTTGTTGTCTCCTTCATGTGGATTTTATCTGGTAAGCCTCATATTACTGTTTTTATGAAAATTAAAGACATTCTAAGAGAACCCCAGAGAAAGCAGAAGTGATTCTTGTAATGTAACCCCCTAAGTCCTAAAGTACAAGCATTCTCGTAAAACACTCATTTTTTCTGCTCTTGTTTGTACTTTTCCAATTGAATTGCTAATTAGCCCTTTTCCCTTACCTTTTACTTCTTTTTTTCCTTACTTTTATTTCAAAAAAAAAAAAAAAACAGAACATTTTTACATGTGTATATTCTGAATTCTCACCCTTGATGTTCCTTTCCCCGCACTATTTTCTGCACTTATCGTAGCAGAGATTGTCTTCTTCCTAAAATTTTAATTGTGATTGTATTTTAAAGTAAATTTTTATTGGAAGTTTCTTATAATTTCATACTAGGACGTTTTCGTAAGATATCAAAGGTTGATAGACTAGTTATGTGCTGGTGGATATTCACGGGCCTAACTCACATTATCCTTGAGGGGTACTTTGCTTTCTCTCCCGAATTCTACAAAGTGAAGACCTCACATTACTTAGCTGAAGTTTGTAAGTTATCCATCTTATACAAATCATCTATCAATAATTTTATCCAGTTTGAGCTTCTTACATCTCGTTTGTTTTATGTTACTAATTATGAAAATTTATAGGGAAAGAATATAGCAAGGGTGACTCACGGTATGCTGGACGGGATTCTGGTGTGGTTGCCGTTGAAGGATTAACCGCTGTTGTAGAGGGCCCCGCTTGTCTCCTAGCAGTGTACGTGTTGACCTTAATCGACATTCTTAATATTAGGCATTCTATGTTTCATAACCAAATAAACTAGCTTATAGCTCATTTTTTTAACTTATAAGCTTCTTGTATCCAAATAAAATTCGTTTGGTGGCACTAGTTTTTTTAAAAAAAAAATCGAGCTTATCTCATAAGCTTCTTTGGGTAGCTTTTCAAATAAGTTCGTTAAAGTTTTTATTTCAGTTTAGCTTATCAACTAATTTTACCAAACACTTCTATTAGTTTTTCAGCTATAACATATAAGATAATGCTCCCCTAGCTACGGTGGGCACATGTTAATATGCCCACCACACATTGGTGATGTTAATATGTTCAAAAAAATGCATCACCAATGTGTGCATGCCACATAAGCGGTGGGCATATTAACATGTGCCCACCGTTGGTAGGGGAACATTACTGATAACATATAAGCTTGAAATTCACTTATAAGCTATCAGTTAGCTTATCAACTATCAACTAGTTTTTTTCTTCCTTAGTGTTTGCACTCGCATTCTTCTATTTTTCTAAATAGGATAGCCACACAAAATGTTTTTGAGGCCATTTGGACTAATTTAGAAAGTTGGGAGTTACAGTTATAAAATCTTCACAAATTCCTGTGTGAGGCAGTCTAACTATTAGGTAGGCAAGTCGACTTGTCATACTTTTGTTACCAAAAAGTATGACTGCATAACCGTTAGGCCTGTCTAACTGTAAAACATTTGTTGACAACATTAAATCAGAGTTTTTGTAAATACTACACTAGGGTCAGTTCTGTAATTACACATTTCCTTCGAGTTTCGTTTACCAAGCCTTTAGAGACTACCTTGTGGCATTCACAGGTATGCAATAGCAACAAGAAAGTCGTACAGACACATTCTTCAAATAGCAATCTCTCTAGGCCAGCTTTATGGTACGGCCGTGTACTTTATTACGGCTTTACTTGAAGGTGACAATTTTGCCACAACTGCATTCTATTATTACGCTTATTACATCATGGCCAATATATGGTGGGTTATAATTCCCACCACCATTGTCGTACGAAGCTGGAAGAAGATATGTGACGCATTCCGGGCCCAAGAACAGAAAAAGACCAAAACCCGTTAAGAGTTTTGGACGGGTCTTCGTTTACGGTACTACTGATGGTCTGTTTTACGGTACTACTGATGGTCTGTTTATTTTGTTAAATCTTCCAATTGTTCGTGTTTTATTGTATGAAGTGCTTGGCAACTTGCTGCATGTCCTATGGCCCGGGTTTAAATGACAGTTTTCTTGCGAGAAACTCAAAGTAACATAAATTGATCGGTGAAGAAGTTCACAATCTGTTGCCGGAATTTACATGAACAGACAAAATATCTATTTTAACAGCTTTAAAGAACACTGTGTGAAGGGTTCAGTGTTAGCGAAGGTTTGACTGTTGCCGTATAGGGCTCGGGAATATAGTTTTTTATGTATATTTTGAACTTATAACTTGAGTTCGGCGTAGATAAACAAGTCAAGTTTGAGCTCGTTTATCGGCTCGTTCAGTTAAGCCCGATCAAATAACCCTTGTTTGATTATCAGAAGCTCGAGTTTGACTTAGTTTGTTTACAGCTCTACCGAGTGAGCTACCTCATTATGGGCAGGCAAATAAAATAGAAGGGCCAACAGGCCTAGTTTGGGACTTGTGTTTCTAATTGTCGAAGGAGATGGAAAAAGAACAATGCTAATTACAAAAGTTCCTCGAGTTTTCTACAATTCTACTTAAAACACATATTCGTTTCAAATTTTCAGTTTGGCTTTTAATTCTTTACAGCTACGATAAATTAAGCTCTTTTAATTAGTACTAGTAAAGTGCACGTGCGTTGCACGTGATGTAAATTTTTTTTGCTAATTAATGTTGTCGTGGTAATGAACTAACAATAAAAAAATTGTTTAAAAATATGTACGAAAAGCCAACATATGATCACCAACATATGAGCGTGTGACAGTCCTCTTTTTTAAAATTCAATTACGTGAACATGCACAACTACATCTCCAAATATTTTCTTCTTAAACAGTTGATCCTTCAAATCTTGCAATTTCGCTCGAAACACTCTTGCCGTCAAATCTGGACGATCCTGGGCTCGTTGCCCTTCATACAACAACTCTTTGATCTCTGTCCAGTCAGGATTGCACGTCATTATAATAAATAAGTTTGGTTTTCTGAATCTTTGCACCAATGTTAATGCATCAAGATACCTACGACGTATATCTCTTGGTCCTCCAATAAATGATGCAGGTAACACAATTTGTCTTCCAACTTCACTTCCTCTAGTTTCTCCCTTTTTTACACTATCTTTAATACCTTGGTATGATTCAGCTCTCATGTTTGATTGATTATAGTGAAAATAATCCAATCTTGTTGTCTCCAATTTTATGTACATGTAACATGTGAACAACTGAAATAGCCTTTGACCAAGGAGAAGTGTTGATTCTCGAGGACTTCTAATTTGCAATTTGTAGCAACTATATTCTCTGCATGACACCTTTTTTGGGCTTTCTTTTCCAAAACTGTCAATACTATAGTATACAATGAACAATTAAAAAAATAATCTATGACAATAATTTCTTTACATTAACAATTACAAATTTAACAAAATAATAAATAATATAAACAATTATTATGTAATGATATAAAATTATAAGTAGTACATGTAAAACTTTGTGATATAAACTTGATAAGGAAGTTAAATATGTAAATAAAAATAAAATAAAATTAAATAAATAAATATTTGACGGTACAAAAATAAAACATGTAACATCCTCGTCAAAATTACGTATAAAATTTTAAGTTTTATTAATAAAAATTGTATACCTTGGCATTCAAGAGAAAGGATATCATTTGGATACGAAAAACTTGAAATTGATGAGATACTGCAAATATTTTCAGTGAGACCTGAAAATGTAATTGAAAAAAATTAATTAAAGAAATGTGATACCAATAAAATACAAGTAGTTAACATAAAAAAATGATATCGTACTTTGTTTTTGCACATGTCTTTCGTTACCAGCTAACTTCAAAATGTTTTGATGCCAACCAACATTGCCTTTGAGAAAAAGAAGGGGATAGTACAATGGATCATAAAATAAAAAATAATCTTTATTCTATATCTATCACCTGAATGTGCATGGATAACAATGTCACGTTCAAAGGGAATATTGACATTATTTCATTTAACCCATATTGATGCGACTTGATCGGTTGTTGGACAATTATAAACATGCTGGTCTAATTTGGCATCCTTAGATATGGAGCCAAACTTCACCCAATGATGGATAGTCCTTCAGTTTTCTAAAAACGTTTGCCTATGAGTTTACATCCAAAACACTAATGAGTTTGTTAACCGTACATTCAGATAAAGAGGAGCTTGGAAATGTGCCCATTCTATTTTCGGTCTCTCATTCGGTTTCTACAAAATACAACTGAAAATATCCATGTCCATCTTCTTTAGGTAATAAGCTAGGAAGATTATGATATACTACTCCTTGAACACGAAAAGTATGAATTCCTTGTCTTGCAGAAGCAAGTTGTTTATCTAATTTGACTCCTGGTGTAAAGAGAACATGTTGTTAAATAAACGAAGTTTATTCGAAACTGTTTTGCCTCTTCTTTTTGTGAAGTGAATAATTCATATAATTCATCAGGGACTTCAATAGGAGCAAGTTTGACTTTCCCATTATCACAACAAAATGTTGGACACTCGTACTGAAATTTCATAGCACCGCAATGCATGCAATTGGGCATTTTTTTCAACTCATGTATCGCCAAACATACATGCCCTTTCATAAGTGAACCTAAAAAAATTGACATATTATTTATTAAATCACATAAATGAATGAAAAGCCTAATTTTTTAATCTTTGTATAAGAATAATAAAATATGGACAATAGTATATCTATAGCAAATCACATTAAATATAATATACATCAATATTATGTTAATAAATTTTTTATTAAGTGATAAATGCAATGTTTTTAACAAGGGAAAGTTTTATTAGTGATACTTACGCGTAAATCAAAATCAATAATAAATGTACACCGAAGACATGGTTAAAGTATTGATAAAATTACATTTCTAACAATATTAGTCGTGGAAAATGAAATGCATGATGATAATTTAACATAATACAGGACAAAAAATTATTAAGTATAAAAAACATATACCACTCATTTGGATCTCATAAACAATTGTATATATTTTGTATTATAGAATAAAATATTGCTAATCTTTCCATCCACAAGAAACTTTATCTGTATCAAGACCTGCATACCCATATTTTGATCCTTGCTACGTTTATTATTTTTATCAATATACACTTGCTTATCATCTACAGTTAACTCGTTGTATCTCCTTTACATCTTAGCCGCATTTCGACGCCGATATACGTCCTTCGCTGTGATATAAATGTTAAAAATTAAAAGATATATTCATGTACAATAAATAGAATGATGAAAAAGTTATACTATAAATTTTATTATAAGTTTATAACGAATAGAACGATGAAAAAGGTTTACTATAAATTTTAGTAGTATAAGTGTATAACGTTCATACTTCTAATGTGAATTTATGTTAATTATTAGGGTAAATTGCAGTTTTGATACCCAAATTAAGTTCATTTCGGAATCAGTACCCGTTTTTTAACATTTGTAAAATCAGTACCCAAACTTTCATTCTGTTAGCAACGTTAGTACTCGGCCGTTAGATCTCCGTTAAATTTTCGTTAGTTGTTAACGGAAGTAGGCAAAATGGAGGAATTTTTTTTATTTTTTTGGCTCATGATGAAATTCATATACATAAGACATTTGTACCTTTTTTTTTTCAAAAAGCCTCCACTATTTATAAGAATTTTTTTTGGATAAAATTGATTTTTTTTTTTGAAAAAAATATAATAAATCGAGAAAAATGATAAGACATGGTTTCTCTTCTAGTTCAAGCAGTATATCTTGGAATAATAGTTTTCCAATAACAATAATACAAATTTCCTTCTATTTTGCCTACTTCCGTTAACAACTAACGAAAATTTAACGGAGATCTAACGGTCGAGTACTAAAGTTGCTAACAGAATAAAAGTTTGAGTACTGATTTTGCAAATGTTAAAAAACGGGTACTGATTCCGAAATGAACTTTAGTTAAGGTATCAAAACTGCAATTTACCCTAATTATTATTATATTATCAAATAGTTAAAAAGAATCATATTAATATATATATATATATATATATATATATATATATTAATTACCTGCTGACAAATCAGAAGTAGATGATCTTCGACCCATTATACAACTTGATCCCATAGTATAAGATCCGTTAATATGTTTTTTGCTTCGTCGAGTTAAAGTTAAAACTTATGATGCCTTCTGATCCACAAGAAACTTTATCAATATCAAGACATGCATCACCCATATTTTGACCCTTGCGATGTTTATTTGTTTTATCAATATACACTTGCTTATCATCTGCAGTTAAATTGTTGCATCTCCTTTTCATCTTAGCCGCATTTCGACGCCGATATACATCCTTCGTTGTGATATAAATGTTAAAAATTAAAATATATATTCATGTACAATAAATAGAATGATGAAAAAGTTTTACTCAAATTTTAGTATTATAAGTGTATAACGTTCATACTTATAATGTGAATTTGTGCTAATTATTATTATATTATCAAATAGTTAAAAAAATATCTTATTAATGAATACATATATATATATATATATATATATAGATTAATTACCTGCTGACAAATCAGAAGCGGATGATCTTCGACCCATTCTTCAACTTCATCCCTGATTATAAGATCTGTTAATATGTTTGTGCTTCGTCGAGTTAAAGTTAGAACTTATGATGATCCATAATAATCTTTATTAGGCAATATATAATTTATTCTAATAAGATTCATAACTTAAGTGCATGAAAGATTTAAAATTTTAGAAGTTGGTCTCAAAACAATTCAGAAGAATCAATTTATGCAAGAATACCAAAAGCTAACAAAGAGCAAAAGAGGCCTTCTTGGTGTCAGGAATGAAAGAGGAATCAAACATGTAACTAATTAACAAATAAATACTAAGCCCAGTTTTGTTGGGCAAGCCAAAAACAATATCAATACGAAGAGTCCTGTGAGTAAATTGTTCACATTTTTTAAACCACCTGTTGACTGCTCAAGTAAAATTGACAAGATTTTGAATTGTTGTTTAGTTGTATCTTTTCAGAATAATTTGCACATTCATACTCAAAAATCAAAAAAGAAATACATAAGAGATAAACCTTTAATCTCTTATTAGCAAGACAATACAAGAATGCACTGGAACAAAGCTTGTAACAGAACAGAAAGACAATAAAATAAACCAATGATCACCGTGTTAATAGAAATAGATTGTTTGAGAAATCCATTTTATTTTTGTTGTTACATATGAGAGGAATTTAATGAAATACCTGGAACAAAGTGAGATCTATCAATATGTAGTTAATACTATCAAAAAGGAAAAAAGCCTATAATCTGTAAAGGACAAAAAGGCAGATAAACATATCTTAGGGGGACGTAGCTAGTACTATATTAAAAGGAAACCGAGAAAGACTCCATTTACCATGAAAACCAAGAAGAACCCAGCATTCAACACACCACAAACCCATAAACAAAAATCGGCCTGAAAAAAAAAAAAAAAAATCACAAACAATGTCTTTTTCACCGTCCACACGAAAAAAAAACGCAACATTTATAAAAAATAAAAAAAAAAATTGGAAGCTAGCACTGGTTTGTTGGGATGGTATATCTGTTGATTCACGCAAATTCAGACAATGGTGATGGAGTGTTTGATTTTCCTTATTTTCTTGACGTTGTTGTGTTTTTCCAATGGGTTTGCGACGTGAGAGTAGCTCGTATGATTTTTTCAAGCAAGCTTTTTCCAAGTCGTCGCTGGGGTCTTTAGTAGTGAACCTTCAAAAATGTTTTTATCCTAATTAACCTTTTGACTTGCCACTTAGATATTGGAAATTGTTGTCGAATGCCTGCCTCCTCGGTACCATAGGTCTGTCATCAACCTTGAGAATTTTCTCTCTCTGGGAATTTAATTCACAGATTTCGTGGTTGATTGAGGGAGGACGCTACACCTTCTTGATAAAGCCTATTCTTGATAATCCTATGGGGCAGATAATTCTGTGTTTACGAATCAAGGTTAGTGCCTACCCGTGTTTTAGGACTGTATCATTAATACTAATTCACTATATACCAAATCATGAAATAAGAATTGAAGCAGAAAACTGTTAATCGACATTCTAAGCGAATGAGCTGCACTAAACCTCTATTCTGTTGATAATACATATACCTTAGAAGTTGGTGTATAAATAATTGATTAAGCAATATACCCAATTTCAACAACTATAACCTGAAATACCAAAGCCCATTCAAGTATAATCTACTG